TACCGTTACATCTGAGTAATTACCAGCTTCTCATTTTGCTGAGGAGCACAGAAAGTTTTGCTTCATTTTAAAGTGCAAAGTACTCATTTTTAATTTTTAAGTTTCCTGGTGAAAATCATGGGAAGTTGAAAATCTGACAATTCTGATTCTTTTCACAGATCCTGCCTCAGATAAATGTTTTAATTTTGACCACTTTTCAAAGACAATGTGCCTCTCAAACCCACCAGCTGGTTTTGAAAGTCAAAATTTCCATTTTAGATCTAAATTGTTAAAGAATTTAAATTTCAGGCAAAAATATTTAGGAGTTAATCTGCATGAAAACTGTAACATAAAGGTAAAGATTTAACAGAATAAGTTTCAAGAGTGTAATGACAGAAGGGCTATTTGTGAAAGAGTTGATAATACTTACACGTACATGCCCCTGTCATACTGGTCGTGGTCCTGTTTGCCTGTAGGGGGCACTATGGCCGGGTGGGGGATCCCTGTAGGATGCATGCCTGACGGTCCGAGCATCAAAGAGTGAGGGAACCTGGCGGAGGCAACAGAAAAAAAAGCAGAGGAGAGGAAGAAAGACGAGAGACAACAAAGAAGTGAGGTCAGAGAGAGACACACTGATTCACACTGAGAGGACGGTGAGCGTCGAAGCAAAAGCTGCAGATTTGGGGAAGCGATGAGCTGAAAAGCATGAAAAGCCTGTTGGTAGAGAGCTGAAAGGGGCTTTATATCAATGTAGTGCTTTGCTAAATTAAACCAGAGAACAAATATATTGTCAATTTGACAAACTAAATGCAGCAAAACTAATTCTTTACTTTTTAATGCAGCAGTGACGTTAACACCTCTCACCACTAGAGGGCGTCCAAGCATTACTGAGGGAGACGTTTAGGGGCGAGGAAAATACTCGATCACATCTCAGACCTCGACTTGTTTGAAGCCCGCATTCAGTCGGAGCTCTCACAAGCATCATAAGTGTAAATAAGTAACTCCCCCAAATGCTGCATGATCCAAAATCTATTAATTTAACACTACTGGGAGACTTAGCTTCATTTTTTTCTGCACTTTTACACAATGTGGCGATAAGAGCGGCTGAAAACGCAGCAGCAAAAAGCATGAGCTGCTTGTGGCGTCTTCGTGAGCGTCTGCGTGAAATAATAATCAAAACAGTTTGTTTTAACCTGCATGAATGAGTGGCAGCTCATAAGTGGGGTTCACTGCACTTGACAAACTCAGGTACTGACAACAGAAATGCATCATGAACAATGCAAATACATAAATGCATGTAAGTCAGGTAATGCTTACTGCTTTGAAATAGCGAATACAGAAGAATTTCCCAACCTGAATGCAGGTTAAAGCTGTGATATCAAAGATCCAAATCATATGATTAATGGTTACAAGCAGTAAACGTTTTCTCATTCTGCGTTCCTAAACACTGGTTCATTGTGAAGAAACCCCACCTATTTCACAAGATACAGGTTTAAAACAAACAACACGAGAGCTTGGTTAAGTCTACATGGTCGAGGCCTCATGTTTGCGACCCAAAAAACAGACGCAGCATCTGTGTGTTGCGAGCAGAGACTCGCATTCTGTGTTCACATGTAGACATTTTAAACATCGGTTTAGGTTCAAATTTGACTCTGCAAATGCACAAACCCACAGTGGGGGTCACACGCATGTTTTTAAATGTCCCTGTATGTCCACCTAGCAGATTTAGCAGAACATTTGCATTTTTAAACATTTTTTTTATTGGTGATCAAGAACACACACAAGTAACAAAAAGCAGAAGAGAGCTTGAAAGTAGCGCTAAAGAAGAGCAGTTGTCCTGATAGAGCTTCTGTCTGTAGCCTGTCGTATTCTGCAGCAGCGTTTAGCTTGGCTCGGCTCAGTTTGCCTTGACTCAGCTTGTTTTGGTGAAAACACTGAACTGGTCCTGTTTACAGCACACTAGCTCCAATAGGACTTTTACAGCAGCTGCCCAATGAAATCTGATGGAGGGGACGAACACGAGTTTGCCACGGTGAATGGAAAACTCCTGCTCAGGCATTTTAAGTGTGCTATAAACAGGAGTTGATGATGCACAGCATTGCGCTTTGTTTTTTTTTTTTCCCTTGGCGCGGCACGGCTCTGTCTGGCCGGCCGACTACGGTACCTGGAGTAGGACGAGGCGCTGGGGAGGTTGGAGGAGTAGGGCTGCCTGAATCCACAGGGGGACAGGCCAGGATAGACTGGCTGGCTCTGCCTGCCACAGCACAGCAGAGGGGAGAGACGGCAGCAGTTGGCGCTATGTGGCTTTACAGGTCAAACATTGTTGCTTTTTTTAAGCCCTTATGACCAATTTAAATCTACTATAATCTTATAGATAAAGAAATGTTTTGGTTTAATTTGGTAAAATCAGAATCAGATAACAGAACACTCGAAAATGATTCTACAGAGTTCAAACCTAGATATTGTCCACCATTTATCACATCTGTTTGGTTTTACTTAACAAACACTGAATTACTGGTATTGATTAGCTTGCTGGAATATAAAAGAAGGGTCAGTTTTGTCAGTCCAGTACATGCTTATTCATCTTTTATTACTTCAAAGTGTTTCTGGAAAGGCAAATGCCCTGTTATACATTCTTGACAAAACTAGTCTGGATCCACACCAAAATTGTATTGCTTCTTCCCGTGTCCATGCTCCACCTCCACTCAATTTCATGACATTCGGCCTTGTAGTTTCTGTACAATCTCGCTGACAGACAAACAAACGTTTCTCTTTGTGCTCCGGATGCGTTTAGACACGTATTTGTTCACCGTATCTGTGCCTATTTCACACTGCTGTATCTTAACGCACAAACAAATAGAACAAATAAACACAAAAGCCACAAATAAACTTCAGGACCTGCGTATCATTTGATCATTCCTACATAAAGTTAATTCACGGGGCTTAATGCCTCTGGTGATGCGCGGTGATCCCCCTGTGGAAAGTTGGGATCAGCACTGTTGACAGCTGTGTGTCAATACGTGGCTTACTGGGAGCGCACACTCGCACCGTGGGAGGTCGAGGGTGGGGATGGGGTGCAAGGAAGAGCCTTTGATATGTAGAAAACCACACTTCTACCTCCTGAGAGCCAATGTAAGCATCACCCTCCCCCCCCTCCTCATGTTTCAATGTATGCACACGCACATCTACCGTTTCAGCCACCTTTACAGTCATCATTATCATTCACGTTCTCCTCCTTCCTTTTCTTCTTCTCGACTGTATCCATTCTTCATCCCCCTCCAGGAACTTACAGTGAAGCCCAGAAGCAGAAAAACCCCTCAGCTGGGATGAGATCCAAAGATTACTGGGCTCAGCTCCTGGAGGACCATTCATGCTGTAATCCTGTTTTAACTGAGGTCACACTACAACACGGGTCAAGTGTTGTTCACTGCAAACTAAACGGTCAGTCCGCTTTCCACCTCAGGCGCACCAGATCTCAGTAAACCAATAAACAGTCCATCAGTTTGTGATATTTTTGGTGCGTAGCCAAAAAAAAAAAAAAAAAAGAGAAGAGTTTCAACACCACTAGAATCTTTCGCTCTTGAGTGACAACAAAACGAAAAACACCTCCCACGTGAAAGGCTTGGCCGGACGGAGGTATGCTGGGAATGAAATGAGACGACCCGCTCTGTCGTGCCGTTTAGCACCTTGTTGTCACTTGTAGTGGAGAGACGCACCCTGCTAAGTGATAGCTTCAGTCAGAGGTACCGAGTTGGAAAATGTCAAGCAAATGTCGGCTAAAGGGAACGGATTTCACGAGTCCTTGTTTTTCAGACATGGAACACAGAACATCGCCGGTTTCATCCGTCTTTGTCATTTATGTTCCTCGTGGCTTCATTCAGACGTAACATGGCAGCGATGGAGAGAGTATGTTTGTCACACATGTGAGATTGGACGCAACTTCCAGTGACGTGTACTTCATAATAATGCGGCAATAAAAAAAACACCGAATCTAAGCTGATCGCAACACTGTTCAAATAACTAATGGCATAGTTCATTTATGATTTCCTAAGACTGTCCATGTGTCATGATGTTTATCAGATGAAAACATCCCGACAGCTGTGATGAAGCTCCAACACAAGGATGTTCCGCTATGAGGCAAATAATTAGCTTGCACCTAATAAACCGTGACTCATCATGGGACAATTCATCCGCCTGAGGTAAAGAAAAGTACAAAATGTCATTACTATTTGATAAATCATATTGAGAGGTGCTTCAGTTGTTCTTCCTTGTGTCTAAATGTGGACAATTCTCACAGCTCTCTGATGCTGCAGGTATTTAATTAGCTCAGAGGAAAGATTCCTACAAACAGCTGGAAGCAACAAACCGAACTTCGTAATGTTTTGTCAAAACCTGTGTCATTAGTGAGTCTTGTTAATCTGAGCTGTTAGTCTCTGTCTTAACTCTGGTATTTCAGATGTACTAGATGTGAAATAGTACAGCAAAGTGACTGATGTAGGTGTTGCTTTGGGCTCTCCATGATGGTTTTGGGTCAGTACTGAGGCTGAAATGTGGAAAGCAAACACAACTTGATGTCGCTTGTGTGTCCTTCTGCTCATGCCGTGTTGAAAGTAATGCAGAAATGCCACTAGGTTAAAAACAGTAAGACTGCATCGCAACTTTTATGGAAAAGCTACCGAGGTGCTCATTCAGACACGTTTAGTAGCCGTCAGGTTAACAGAAAGGAGTTATGCTTTGTTTTCAACTGTTATGACAAAAATGGCCCTGAAAGCGCCTCGGACTTCTCTTCAGGTATTTAGTTAAAGTGCCAGACAGCACAATTTTTACTGCCTTGGAGCAAAAAGTAACCATAAAACGTGAACTTTGGCTTTGTTTTCCCACTGCAACTCAATCCTCATTAAATAATGGTCGGCACACCCGGACTGCACTTGTAATTTCAGCTGCTCAGTGATGGAGGACGATATGAGTTTTAAATCACTTATTACTACAGTATTTTGCATGGTTATATGTTATCTTTTTGCTAAGTTCTCCTTTTTAATTGCCAAAAAAAGCAGCTTTAAATGTTTGCGTCACTTAAAGCTATGCTGTTTGGTCAATGGAAGATAAAGAGGCTTTTGTGACACAGTGTATTAAATAATGCAACATGTTTGCGAGGCCCCCTGCATCATCACAAACAACAAAACACATCTCAAATAATTCCTGACACCCTCCTGGTCCGAGGCGACAAACCAACCAGCCGACAGGCCGGTGGTCATGGAGGGACAGGAGTCGAGACCGGGCAAAAAAATCTGAACAACAGAAAACAACAGCTTGACATTTAGCCGCTCATTCTACATGTCCTCCCATCCTCCTCCTCCAACAAAGAAGCACACTACAAGGGGCCAAAACAAGCAGATAATCTGGGCTAAAGGAGATTAGTCGTTAATAATACTTGTGAAACTCCATAGTGAAGTGTTTCAGATAAAAGGCCTGTAAATCACAGACTTGGGAAATGTCTGGGGACACGCAGCTCGTCCGGCAGAAACATGAAAAACACACATAAACACACATGTAAGCAAATGCACACACAAACTTTCAAAGCTTTCATCCCAAATCTCCATGACATTTGATGTAAGCCTTTAACTATTCCTGGAGGGGATTTGTCCAGGCACAGATACTGTAGGTTGTAATAAATGGATTTGTGTTGATCCATAAATCAGTGGAAGTTTGACATTATACATTCGCAATCAACCAGCATGACATTGCGAGCTCACAATCAACTCCGAATTGACGGAAACCTGAAATGAAACGGAGCCAATGTGGAACAGATGTGGCCGTTTTAGGCGTCCTGCAGAGCTTTTCCACGCTGCTGCCCCATAAGTAACTATAGTGGAAATCAAAACACGAGCTTAAAGGCCTTCCATCACCAAAACACAGTGTGGCGGATAAAAGCCATAAATATACATGCGTATTTTATTTATAGTTCGGAGGTCTTTGAGAGTTCATTAAAGGCCAGAATCTACATGAAAGTGCCAATTTCCCAGAAGAAGACTGACATTTGCATGTTTAGATATGAAGGTACTGTTCTGAAGTCCTCGTGCTCACTGCTCTCTGTTACAAGATGTCTTCTCAGTAGCATAATCCAGGTTTAAAACACATAAAGTCTCTTTATTGGTAATCAGATTCAGATCAAGAAACAAAAGTACTCAGACAGTGATGGGAGAAGTATTTACATCCTTGACTTTTATAAAAGTACTGATACAAGTACTCTGTTAGTAGTAAAAGTCCTGCATTAAAAATATGACTTAAGTAAAAGTATATGAGTATTATCATGAAAATGTACTTAAAGTTTAAGAAGTGAAGAACTACTTCTCCTGTGACTGTTACACATTATGTCATTAGATTTTTACTACCAATGTTTAATCAGGGATTTAGGGTTGCAGCTTTTTTTTTTTTTAGCTCATATTTTGTTTTCACCTGCAGCTCGTGATTATTTTTATTCTGGATTAATATGCTGATTGATTTTTTGGCTTGTTTAACTTTTGGAATAAAAAAGTGACAAATCTCATTACAACTGCTCCTAATCGATCATCAGAACAGATTCCAATTTTCTGTCTGTTGTTGATTGATTCTTTGACTAATTGTTTCAGCTGCACAAAGCATAGGGAGGTTCAATTTATGAATTTATATGGAAAAAAAAAGAGTAAAGATAATCATTAATTTAAGCGGTGGGATAAATGTGAATTAAAAAAAGTACAATATTTCCCTCTGAAAAGAGTAGAATCTTGTCTGTAAGCTACGTATATTCCACTGCACTTCGAGGACTTTCTTGCCACCAGATAAGGCGGTTTCACTGCTGGATCCCAGGCAGTGTGAGGTGGCATGAGTGTTTACAGGAACGTCCCCCTAATCAGCTGTTTCAGCCTTTCCCTTCCCATTGCGGTGAAGATTCGACAGCTTCTACAGCGACATCAACACCGAGAGCGCCACACAATGACAAGTCACTGGATGTAGCTCCAGTTCTATGAGCCCGTAGAACATAAAACAAGGGTATGTTTGTTATGTTTGCCTAAAAGGTGAATTTTACATTGAAGATAACAATGTTTGTGAGAAGAGCAGATGTCCAGCATATAAAGAATCAGCACGAGAGACCACATTTCTCTCTAGTAGCTTCTTTTCATTGGCTCCCTGTAAAATCAAGGACACAATTTAAAATCCTTCTAACATACATTAATGATCAAGCTCTTCACTGTCAGACTGCAGGTTTACCTGTGGTTCCTAAAGCAGAATGGGAGGCAGAGCGTTACAACATCAGGCTCTTCCGCTGTGGAATCAGGCCCCAGTTTAGGAGATTCTAAATCTGCTTTTAAGATTAGGTTTAAAGCTTTCTTTTTTAATAAAGTTTATAGTTAGAGCTGCTCAGACGACCCTGAACCATCCCATAGTTATGCTGCTGTAGGTCTAGACTGCTGGGGGGACTTCCCATGATGCACTGTGCTCCTCCACTCTCCTCTCCTTTCTCCATACAATTACATGCCACCAACTTTATGTCTTGTCTCTCTTGTCGCTCCTTCACCCTCACCCCAACCAAGAAAGGCAGATGTCCGCCCTCCCAGAGCCTGGTTCTGCACAAGGTTTTTCCAAATTCACATTTAATGGGAGTTTTGTCTCCTCACTGCTGACTACTGGTTTCTGAAAAGGAATCCAAATGAAACTTTGGATTTTTTGGGTTCCTCTGTATAAATCCTAACATCTTTACTATGTGAAGTGTCTTGAGATGACATGTTGTGAACTGGCGTTATGGGAAATTTAAAAAAAACCCAAATGGACTCAAATAGAAGACAGCTACTTAACAAGTTAGTACTTTCTTTACAAAAAACAGCCCAAAAAGAGGTTTTACATGTGCAGTTCCGGCTGTCCTAAAACAACAGCGTCTGCGCTAACTCCAATACTCCAACAACTCCTACAATGACTTTGCTTTACTTGTCCTGAAAAAAACAGGAGGTGGTTTCCATGACAACGGGATCATGGGTTAGTCGCTCTGACACCAGGTGAGCTGATGATGTATGTATGTATATGGCAGTGACCCAGGTCAGAGTGTGTATCTGTCCGCAACGTTGGGAAATGATGAACGATTTTGGGGAAAATGACAGCTTCTTTAATCTATTTGAAAAATGAATATTTGTGGGTTAGTTAGAGGTTAATGGTAAGAACACCACCGCAGAGAAATGCCAGTGAGGCAGAATGAATCAAAAGTGAACGACAGTCCAAACATTAAATATATTCAGTTTACTATTAACAAAAAATCAATCTACAATCATATCTGAAGGGTGAAGTTGTGTAATTAACAGACTTGCTGCTTCACTTTCCACATATTGTTACTCGGTTATTATCAACATCAGTGTGTGGCGTCAGTTCAGGGCTGCAACTAGTGTTTTATTTGCAAAAACAATGGTGGATTTGCTGATTATATTGTCAGTAAAGTGTCACAAAATAGTGAAAAAAGTATTTTCTAGAAATGGCTTGTTTGGTTTCAGAAAAAGACATCACAGACACCCTGACGTGTAGAGGCCGGAGCCAGGTGATTTATGGAGCATTTTTTACCTGAAAATGACACAAATGATTAATCAATGTGTGTGTGTGTGTGTGTGTGAGAGAGACCCACCAGCTCATGGAGGGAGTGATCTGGCCGACGCCACCTGGAGAGAGGGAGTAATACCCTGAGAGGTCCTGGGACTGGTGCCTGTGGACTCCTGGAGGACACACAAACAAACACACATTAACATAATTGCGATCACATTTTTTTTTTCGTTGCATAATGCAGCTATGTACAATTTCCCTCCCTGGTTGTGCCTTAAACACACATCAGGCCAGGTCAGCGGGCCTGACCATAGCCTCAGGCCTGATGAGCAATTAGGACCATTAGCAGCCTGGGAACCTGGAATTAAGAACAGAAATGCCCTTAACTCAGGTCACTCCTGGCCCAGCCCACTACATGTTTTATACTCTGTGTGTGTCTGTGGACCCTCCACTGGGAGTCGGTTTCACTGGTTTATTCTACCAGAGTTAAGGCTTGTGGAAAAAGCGTCCACATTCTAAACAACAGATACAGCGCAGAACCAAACATGCATACAAACAACCGTTCGTCATCTCTACTTTCAGCAAAAATGTTTTCCGACAAAAGAAACACAGACATCTAGACTCTGTGTCCTCACACAGTAAATATCCAGTCTCTCTCTCTCTCTCTCTCTCTGTCGACTGTCTCTCTCTTTGGTGCCCTTCAAAGGAAGTCATTTGTCAGCAGGCAGCACCTAGCACTTAGCGCCGCCCGGTTGCTAACCTGTGTTTGCAACAGAGGAATGCTGCAGATGACTGTAATTTGGCCGCGGCTCCGGGCCTGTTTCAGGACCCCGAGCTGCTATAAATCTGGATGACAGGAATGTGACTGAGTCAGTCGACCTGTCTCACCGCTCCGATCCTTCCTCCCATCTCTCCGTCCGTCCCACCACACCCTTCCTCCTCCTCCTCCTCACCCCCTTCCACTGTCCGGACTTCACTTACTCCGTGTTTCTGGCCCTGTTCTCACCCTTCTCTTACCTCTCCAGTTCCCTCCCTCCTTCATTACAGACCTCGGCTCTTTTCTTTCCTCTCTCATCCTTTTTTTTCTTAATGCATCCATCCCCCACATTACCCCCTGCATGACTGTTTGAATCATCTTTTCTCATCAGAAGCTCCAACATAATTTAAATAGACAAGAAAATCCTACACCATCCTGTCAAACCTAGTTTCTCATTAGTCACGTCTATTTAGTGTTTTTCAAATTGTTTTACTGTTTCCATTATTCAGCTTGCATCACTTTTCTTCTTCTTTGAAAAACCCCAAGATGAAGCTTTATAAGACTCAGTAAAGCTTGAGTGTAATATTTAAAGCAGACTAATTGCTAGAGCATGAATCAAATTTGTTTACGGCGACACAGAAATGTTTTGCGGACTAGATTTTGATCTAATTGATTTGTTGTCAACTATTAAACTGAGCCGCAACTTTTAAAAAATAATTAATTTTATCAGTTTGAGCCATTTTTTAAAAAGCAAAAAGTCAAAATTATTTGGTTCCACTTTCATAAACGGAATTATTTTCTGCTTTCTTTCCTCCTCTATGACAGTAAATTGAATATATTTGTGTTGTGGACAAAACAACACATTTAATGAAGTCACGTTGGGTTTTGGGAAACACAGATTGGGATTTTTTTGATAGTTTGAACCATATATTAAAGTATATATGTACAAATGTGATTACTTTATGTTCCAGATCTAACAGAGAGGTCCTGATGTGGTTTCATGTTTCATTAGAGTTGGAACAAATAATTGATTAGTTGTCAACTATTCAAATGAATCGGCAAATATTCCGTTCAAGTAATGTGACAAAACTCTTTGATACCAGCTTCTTAAAATGGAATATTTTCTGTTTTTTTTACTCTTCTGCGACAGTAAACTGCATATCTAAGACATTTGCCGTAGATGTCAGCCAAAGTCACCACAAGCATGTCTGTTAAACAAATTTAAGTGGTTAAGAGCTCCACTACATGAGTCTATACATAAGCTACAAATGCACAGACGGTAGTAAAAGAGGCAGAAGGGACTTTTGGATCTTCCGATCATAAGTCACAGTTACATCATGGAGGAGTTTCTCAGCAGCATCCACTGAACTCACACACGTAAACAGATTCAGTACATCGAGGCCTTAATCAGGGTAAATTCCATTTATTGGAAACAAAGCATTTACGCTCAGACAACAGTTCTCCACAGTAACACACAAAAACAACAACAGCAGCAGCAGCAGCAGCAGCAATACAAAGAGGCTTTTGATAACAAAACGTGCTAGATTAGAAAATGTGCTACATCATTTGGCAATGCTTTGCATCAGTCAAGCCAAGAAGTACAAGATTTAGTGTCTACAGAGTTGCAAAGTGGGAAGAATCATTTATTTTTCATCGTAGACAATGCTGGAGCTCGTCTGCGGTTTGGATGGACATGAAGCTCTCCCGGTGGAATAATCAGCACAAAAAATTGAGTACTCTTAGAGAATGCTTGGCTCCTTGCTCAAATGGTGAAGGTACACATTTAAGTAGCTAAAAACTCAGTCATAAATGAACTAAGGTGCATCCACTCACTAAGCTGAAAACAACTCACATTTAGATGCATTCAGCAACAACAGCGTTTTGTTTCATTCACAAGAGCAGCGACAGAGTTTTGAATTCTCTACCATTTAATACCCACATTGTGACGCCATACAGTTTGCCACATCCTGTTGCATTTCACAGTGTGCAAGCCAGCATGTCTTTCTGGCCATTCTGACCTGTAACCCCCAGTGCACTAAAAGGAAGGTCAAGCTGTCTTGCATAAGTTTAAACAAGCTTGAGCCACTGAAAGACTTTTGCACTGAAGACTGCAACGAATATGTGTGAGACAGGAGGAATAATAGGCCTCGATTGTATCCATAATGCATGCAGCAGTACATAATATGTAAGGCCAGCTGCAATACGTACAAAGTGGAAAGATAAAGTATGCTCAGTTTAAGGCAACACTCACTGATGCTGTGTATCTGAGTCATCTGCGATGCCAAATCAAAGAACAAAACACCACAAATTATTTTATCTGGTTGCCAAAACACACATCATCCAGGAATATTATTTCAAGAACATATTTACTGTCAACTCCAGACACTTCTGAAGCATCGTGCTGCCTCCAGTTAAAAACTAAAGGTGAAAGATTTGCTGCCATGAGAACTTAAGGCAGCTGTACAGTCCTGTCTCAGGGATAAAACATATATAAAAAAAAACCCTGTAACATCTACCTTTAAACGGAGCTTCATCTTCTCACCAGAACCACCAAAACACACCAACACGAGTCATTTTGTTGCTTTGCCAGAGGGCTGCTGTCAATCTGTGTGCACCTTTAGGCAAGTATTAATATTAATATTGTATAAAGGGAATGGATACATTTCTTGGAATTAAATATGATGAGCAGACATTAACTGTTAAGAACATGGCTGAACAGCATAAATAACAGCATTAATAACTACAAATGATATCTGTTCTTGTGATATTGACATGGAGAGCTTAACATCCTTTATCGAAATTACCCAAAATGACTGTCTGGCAAGCATCAAAACAGAAATCCCAAACACAAGTTTCATTTTAGCAGTTGATCGTCACACATTAATGTGATGGAAACAGGATGCTGGTTTCTGTAAGTCACGTTTTTGTTTTTTTTCATGCCTCAGCTTTTGACACTATCGGGCCCGTCTGCTTTTGGGAAACCTGAAGGGGAAAATTAGCGGCAGTAATGGGGCAGTTTTCTTTGGAATGCCCCTTTTAAAGCGGCCATCTAATAACAACTACAGCAAACTATCTCACGGTCTCCATGTCAGCGTCTCGGGAAACACTTCAAAGGGAAACCATTTGAGTCAAAGTGGCTCTGCGTGAGCTCGGTATCAGAACGTGTGCATGTTAAAATGAGTGCCGGAGAGCTGAAAATAGTATTCCTGCACTGATAATGTGCTGTGGTGGTTCTAACCACTGAGAGTGAAAGCGCTGCAGCATCTGAGCCTTTAAATGACTTGACAATCAGCCTGTGTGGTGTACATAAAAGAGCCCAAGACCAGAAGAAACTTTGTAGTGTTTTGTTACAGTAAGGGCGGTAATGAGTGCTGACAAAGTTTTACTCAAATACTGGAACAGTTAGTTAAAGAGTAAACTTCAAACCTCAGAGTAATAGTAAAAGTCTGTTTTTTACAGTGTAAAACTACAGGTTATTCGAATCATGTCTAATATGACTCTTAATTTATTCAACACAAAGGTTCCTTTTCTCATGTTGTTTTCAACCAGACTGACTCATGCTCTCACTATCAATTTAAAAAAAAAAAAAAAAAAAGCAAATGTAAAAGGTTACTCAAGTACAAACAGCCATTCAGGACCCAGTTTGAAATGTGACCTTGTTAGATTCATTTACGTTACTTTAACTAAACTTACTGTCTCATTGTTCAAAGGTGCAGATTGTAATGTTCCTTCACTCACTTTAAGTCTAATTTTTTGATTTAAATGTTTTGCAGAACAACTACTTTTCCTTTAGAGATAAATAAAGTGACGAATAAAATAGAATATCATCTCAAGAGTACTAGTAAATGGTTTCTGAAATCATGAAAAAGCAACAAATTCCTTTAGAGGGTAGTTTCTCCAATAGGATTGTAATAGCAGCATCTATGGTTTGAAGCACTGTTAAGCTTACAAAAAACAGTACAAATGAAACTTTGAAAACTGTACTTCCATTAAGAAAAATAAAAGAAAGCATCTAAAAAAACAGAACTTAGTAACTAAAATATTCTCAAACAAACAATGTTTGTGTCCAACAATGCATAAAGGCCACTGGGTCCTTTGAGGACGCAAATATTTCGGAATGGGTCTGAAATGTAATTAATTTCCTGAAACACGTGAACATTGTAGTTTTTTACCAAATGCTGCTTTTAACAGAAATAAAAAGCACCTTTGCTAGCCGTGAATTAACCCTCTGAAACCCAAGCAGTTTGTTGGGCGTTTCCTGCCTTTTTCTACATTTTTATTAACTATGGACTCATTTTTACAATTTACAATTTAATTTAGCAGATGCTTTTATCCAAAGCGACGTACATTTGAGAGTAGATACACATTCATACACCATTGGGAGCAACTTCAGGTTCAGTGTCTTGCCCAAGAACC